GATTCGTCGCACCTCTACCTTTGTCTTTCTAACCTTATCTCACTGAATTATATTTGAATAATATCTTAAAACCCTAGTCTTCTTTATTATAACATTAATACCTCTACTATCTTTATCACTATGGGATTTGATTTGACATTTGCGTCTCTGTGCTAATAATGTGGTATGGCAACATGAACTTATGTACATACGTACGAAGTTCTACGTTGCAACTGACTGACTGACTGACTTAGGTTCTAAATAAAAAAGCAAGGATTCAACACATTCAATATGGTAAGTTAATGTAAGACCACTGCCATCAATGTAATGGTTAGGCATTCGTAACACATGTCCCAACCACCACAGCTGATGAAGTTTCAATACTTCGTCTGTTGATTTGCCATCCTTCAATGAGAGACACTGCCACAGAACCTCACGATCCACAGAGTCAAATGCCGCTTTTAGGTCCAGGAAAACAACTATTGTCGGACCTCTAAATGTGTGTCTGTGTTCCAGGACCTGTCGTAGTGTGAAGATGTGGTCTATACAACCACGTCCAGGTCTGTTCTTCACGAGCTCTAGTTAGGCGTCTAAGTATAATCGAGGCTAACAATTCAGAAACTATATTAGTTAGGCTTATTCCCCAGTGATTGTTGCAAGAGGACTTTTGTCCTGAGTTTGAGACCAGTCAGATGGGATTACGTCCAGTTCTTAGATCCTATCTAAGATCTCGGTCAATCTAACTGTAAAAACTGGATTACCGTCCTTAAAATTTCAGTGGTAAGCCTATAAGAAACTGCTGCTCTACCTTGCTTCAGATTTCCTATAACTTTCTCGACTTCGTAAAGACTAGGAGGACTTATATCGATTTGCCATCCAGGATGACTGGGGATCGTGGGCAACCGAAGTGTGGCTGAAGGCCAGTTGACCTGATCCCTGAAGTGTTCTGCCCATCGACCCAACCTCCTGGATTGAGAATGAATCATCAGCCTATCCTTTTCCGAGGTGGTCTCACTGAAATTCGGATTCCTAATACCGGTTTCCTTGATAAGACGAAACAACTTTCTAATGTTGCCTATCGCCGCTTTCTTTTCCATCGCTTTCGCCACCCACCCTGTTCGTCTGCGCCTAAGCTGACTTCGCTCTTCGTTATGTCCAGAGTCACGTGGGATGCGTTTTCGAGCGTCCGTCAGTTCGGTGGATGCGACTGAAATCCGCGGCTTCATCGTAGCCCTATGGTTTACCTTGCTAGTAGATATCACTGCTGTTTCCACAGCCTTTTTGACATCATTCCAACCTGCCTCCGGATGAGAATCACTTGCATGGTCGTCTAACTGTTTTTCTAGTTCTTGAAATATTTTCTTAGCTTGATTATCATTAAGTAAAGCCCTAAGAGGTTTTCTTGCGATATTTTTCTGGCGTCCAGCAAGGCGCAAACAAATACGCGCTCGCACTAGAGCATGATCTGAATCTAAGCACGTGCTTCAGAACGAGCGACAGTCCTCTGTCGAACCTCTCCATCGGTGGCTGATGGCAATTTGATCTAGTCGGGTCCAGCGTTAAGACGACTTTGGGGGTCGCCAGGTCAAAAGATGCTCTTCTCTATGCCTAAAGTTAGTGTTTGCTAGAAATAGGCGATTATCTGAACACAGTAGCTACAGACGGTCGCCATTGTCTATTCGATTAGCCGCGACACCATAACATCCACCAATATGTCTTTCCTGCTCACTTAGTCTACCTACTTGAGCATTAACGTCACCAGCCATTATAACTATATCAGAGCGCCTAGCTTTTTGGAGGAGTTCCGAAAGCTTACTGTAAAACTCACCTTTCACGTCGTCTGAACTGCAGTCAGTGTGGGCGTAGGCTGATATGAAGAAGAGGCAACGACGAATGTCCCTATCCTTCCGAATCCTTACTGTCCTGTTTAGTCGGACGGCACACAAGGGACTATCTACTGGGATCCAGTCTAAGAGAGCTAGTTCTGCCCTAGGACTCAATGCTATACCTACACCAGCGGGATCCCGGAAGGCAGCATCAGTACTTCCAGATACACGAAGGGTAAATCGAGTTGCTTCATTATCTTGAAATGGTGAGGTCAAGTGAATGACGCTACTCGGATCCTGTATGCGCGTTTCCGAGAGGCAACACACATCAATCACGCGAGATTCTTAAGTCCTAGCTAATGGAGCCTGTCGCCCTATTTGACACAATGTCCGTACATTAAATGCTCCAACATGTAGTTTAGAACGGGGTTTCAGGAGATCAGGAATAACGTTTCGAGAACTCGAGTCGTTTGCTGCAGAGGTGCGGGGTGATAAAGCAATGTGAGAAGAGTTGTGGAGATAAGAGAGATATCAGGGGGTATAGAAAGGATTTGATTTTGATCAATTCGGTCTTGTGTGCTGTTACTGGTATGAGGGCGGTTGTCACTTCCCGGCTGCCCACACCATGGAAGGGTTTTTCTTGAGGAACCTGAAAAGGAAGGTGGATTAGAGTTGGTCTTAGATACCTGGTTGCGTGACCGCATAGCCCAAGGGACAACTGCTTGAGGCCGCTCACTCACAGCCTTTTTATGAGAGGTATTTTGAGTGTTAGCTCCGCTCTTAAAGGCCCTTAGTGGGCACCCTTACCGCCGGAGACGGAAATCCGTGAGGTAGTTTGAGGTGTGACATTTTTAGGGTCGACCTTTTCTAACCCTTCCTTCTTTGTGAGAAGGCAGCATCGCTGCAGATGTTGGTTGTGCGAGGGAAACACTTTACTGCTGTCACACCCCTCTGCAGTCAGCAGTACGACTTCGCCATCAGACCTTGGTTAACTGCCTCTAGTCTCATCATTCTCCAATCGACCAGCCTGGCATGGTAGAACCTTTAGGAACACATGTTCCTGCCAATATAGCTCGGTTGGGTCATCACGATAGGCAGGCCAGACCACCACGTCAAGGTAGCAGCTACGGTCAGGTGGGATTTGAACTAACAAATGCGTCTCTGGGCTGATGGGGTATGGCAACCTGAACTTATGTACTCATGTACGAAGTTTTACGTTGTAACTGACTGACTAACAATACTGTTAATTATTTCTGATCATGAGTTAGTTCGGTTGTCTAAGGTGTACTAGGCATTAGTGAATTTGGTGTCCTTCACAAAAATAATTTTGTCAGCATATTCTGTATTAAGTGATTTCGTCATCCTGGTGAAACATTCTCAGAAAGTATAAAGGAACGAAAAATTGAAATTTCACCAGTAGATTTCATTTTTACCAGTTTCCATGAGGGTTAAGTACCAATTACCGACACTGCCTACTGTTACTGAAAGTGTGAAACTAATTATTTACTTGTTGCCCTCGACTGGCTTTTATACCACAATAATGGGCAATTCCTTTTGTCATTTAGGGTTCGAAAGTGAGTCTTTATCTGGTCTAGTCTGATGTAACCACTAGGTGAAAGTGTGAATACCAATGTATATTTAGAAATATAAAACACTGAACAAATAACTTTTCTGTTGATTAGATCGTTCTATTCCTTATGACTTGTTATTCAGAGTACTCAACGTCCAACTACTGTGTTGTGGTTTCGTATCCCATTTCAACTACTTCAGTTTGGGAGATCGTGAAGTTCCACCAGCCTTCATAATGCAATTTCACTGAAGGCTATTTGCATGAAAATATGTTAGGCTTCTGATGTACATTTTAAAAACAGCCTATTGTGATACCAGTTCCATATGGTAACTACTGTCTATACACATGCTATGTTTCTAAATTTGAATAAAACTACTTGCTTGATTTAAATCGATAAGTACTCTTATTTTTTTTGAAAACAGGTAGAAGAAACAGTTGTACGTGATAGGGCTGTTGAGGCTCTCAGGAAACTTGCACCAGACCATACCACAGAAGCAATGGAAAAATACTTCAATCCATTGTTACATCGCCTGGCTACTGGTGATTGGTTTACTAGCCGAACCTCTGCATGTGCACTCTTCAGTGTGGTATATCCTAGAGTACGGAGCTCAAAACGATGGGAATTACTTGATTTTCTTAGAAGATTAGCCAAGTAAGTAATGATTAGCTATAAAGTTTGTATTTAATGTTGTTATTTGATAATTCTACTTGGGACTCGCCTAGATTTTAAGTAGGACACCAATATGATTAGAAAGTCATCAGAATGCACGTTGAGTCACTGCATTCTTTAACTTTCGCCGTTACTACTATTAAAAAGCATACCGTATGAAACAGCTCTGAGCTTAACATATCAGCTGGTCTGGTGACTGACGAAATCTCAGCACGGATACAGAAAGCTCGATTGGCTTTTGCCAACCTGCGTCACTTATGGTGAAGGCGAGATATCCGTTTGCTGACTAAAGGACGAGTGTACTGCGCAGTAGTTCGCTCCTTCCTACTTTATGGCTGTGAAACAAGACCAGTCAGAGTAGAAGATATTCGTAGGTTACTGGTTTTCGATCATAAGTGTCGCCGAAGCATTGCTTGTATATCTTTGTACTATCGAGTAAGCAATGCTGTTGTTATGAAACGGGTATTAGGTAAGAATGACAAATCAATAGACGAAGTATTGAAACTTCATCAGTTGAGGTGTCTGGGACGTGTTTTACGCATACCTAACCACCGACTGCCTTGACGAGCGATGTTTTGGTGTAGGAGTTTGTTGGAAGAAAGCTAGGGACGGCCAGACCAAAACATGGCAGAAATACTTGAAATCACTGACAAGTTGACTGAGTCATGCTGGTAGTTGCAGGCTACCTGGTTCGGGTCCGCGAGATAATAATAATCGATGGTTAGAGACTTTGAACGACATGGCTCAAAATCGTTTGCACTGGCGCAGGTGCATCCACTCTTTGTGTTCTATGAAATCCTAACCTCCTCAATTCCTCATCATTTCTATCTTTCTCTTCCTAAAGTTATCTCACTGAAATTTACCTCTTGAATAATATCTTCGGACCCTAATCTCTCCTCTTACTTCTAATACTTTTAGCTAACTTTACTACTATGCGATTTGAATTGACAATTATATCTCTGTGCTAATGTCGTATGGCAACTTGAACTGATGTACTCATGTACGAAGTTCTACGTTGTAGCTAACTGACTGACAACATGTCAGCAATTCACTTTGTCATCAGCTGTGTTAACTTTAAGGACGCCCTTATAGCCTGATGTCTGAAAAATCTCGGCACAGATGCAGAAGACTCGATTAGCCTTTACCAACTCCCGTCACTTATCGCGTAGGCAAGATAGTTTGCTTCTATCTACGTGGCTCAGACTAACAGTCAATGGCTGTATGGACTAATACTAGATTTTGGCTTTGGTATTTTCGGGTATGCTATAGAATGTTGTATAAGTTTATTTTGTGTCTTAAATTTTACTGACTATTAGTACTTGTTAAATTATAAATTTATATCAATTCATATAGGGATGAAACACCAATGGTCAGAAGAGCAGTCGCTGCCCGACTAGGTGAACTGGCTCTAGCTATGTCAGTTGGTCAGTCTTCTGAAAAACCCAGTGCTAACGAAGAAAAACTAAACCAGATAACCGAGCATATTTCAAATAATATGACCGCTTCTGCCACGGAATCAAAAATATTAACAGATGAAACGGTTAGTTTAAACAGTGACCAATTTACTTACGGGGTTGCTGCTGATGAACGTTCAAATGATGGTAGCGTAACTGAACACTCATCGACTCTTGCAACTCCTCTTCAATCGGATGATTTTATTCTAGACCCCGAAAAAGAGCGCAACAATATCCTCACTATAATTGTTCCCATATTTATCCGACTAGTTGAGGATGATCAAGAGTCTGTACGCCTTATGGCAGTTGAATCTATAGTTCAATTGGCACAAGCATTGGGACCTGAAGAATCTGAGGAATATTTAATTGATCTCATTCAACAAGCTACAGCTGATAAATCTTGGCGTGTTCGATGTGTTGTAGCTGATAAATTCACAGAAATTCAAACAGCTATGGGTTTACGAGTTTCACGTGAACGATTAGTGGTAAGTTAATAATTTTGTGTATTATCAGCTACCTTATACGTAAAGTAGACATTTTAGACATACATTCAGTATTCTATCTACTCTTGCAATTTTTTTGAAAATTTCCAACGCAGTTCGAATGACGATCAAAATTGAAAGTAATGTCTGCTGGGCTCCTTTATAGACATGCTTATGTGGACAAACGATCCATTCTAAAGAAACAGTATCATGCCACTCATGTGTTAACTACGTTTGCACCTCTTCAATTTTTAACACCTTTAACTACCGGGAGGTTGTATTTTACTCATATTTTTAAGAATTAATCAACCAAACATAGATACAGATACACTTTTTTTATTATCCATTTTACATCGTTCTGTCAACTACTGATAGCATCAGTTTAACCCATACAAACCACACGGATCTGTCATTTAAATCTGACAAGTTTATTATTAGTCCCATTGTGTGTGAATTCAAGCAGGCTATCCTGATGAAAAATTCTTTGCGTTATCTGATCATTAGTATAGTTAATATGCATAATCCTAGTTGATTCATTTCTCATACATTGAGGGCGATGTAATTGAGTAGGTAGGTTGGTTAGGCACCAATTACTGTCATTACTGACTGTCATTTTGAATGGTATGGTCTTCTTTGTCTTATATATATGGAGTATCATATCGTCGACCTGTGGTCTGATATCTGGTCATAATGTCATCTGACTGATCTCAATCACTAATTGTCCCAACTTATAAGAAAGGAAAAAAGTCCTCTTGTGACAGTCACAGAGGAATAAGTCTAACTAATATTGTATCTAAAATATTGGCCTCAATAATACTCCAATGATTAACGAAAGCTCGTGAAGAGCAGACTGGCGAAAACCAGTGTGATTTTCGACCTGGACGTGGGTGTACAGACCATGTATTCACTCTTCATTAGGTCCTACAATATAGAAACACATTTCGGCGTCCCACTATGGTTGTATTCCTTGACTTTAAGGCGGCGTTTGACCCTTCAGTCGTGAGGTTCTGTGTCATTGAAAGGAGTACACTAACCTTATACAGACTCTACTAGAGCACTGCGGCTCAAATGAGAGCTTATGACGAACTGTCATCGGAATTGATTACCTCGAGTGATGTTCGTCAGGGTTGTCCACTTTTTCTATTCGTATTCAACTTTGTTATCGACATGCTTTTAGAACCGACATTTTCGTCGACTGAGTTTTCAGGAGTTGACCAGGAAATCTACTTGTTTAGTTACAATATACCGATGACATAGTTCTGTTTGGTGAAGATGCTGACAAAATGCAGTCTTCTGATCACCTTAAGCAACAATGCAAGCTTGTTGGGGATGTGGCTCTCCTCCTCGAGATGCAAGCTGTTGCTTCGAGATTGGCTTGCATCGGCTACTTGCGTTGCTACTTTCACCTCAGTTTTATGGTTCTGCAGTTAATTAACATTAGACACTAGATACAAATCTTGTACTGGTATCACTCTTCAACAAGACTTATCTGCAATCTGCAGAATGCTATTGTCCTCCATGGAATTCAACTTAATATGTCACATTCATATGTGTTATTTGTGAGATGTTGGGTGTGTAGTTGTAGTTATGCTTTTCTAATATATACCAACCTGCAAATAGCTTAAGTATCATCGAAAACTGAAGTACTCTTTACCTATATACATCTTAAGTGAACGATAACCAGCCAGCGGTAACTTACATTGACAGTATCCTCCTGTTTCTACAGTTCATTATTCGACCGTATTAACTAAAGATAGACAGACAGACAGATACAGTGCAGAACTTCGTACGTAAGTACATCAGTTCAGGTTGCCATACCACATGAGCACAGAGACATAAGTGTCCGTTCAAATCCAAGAGTGATATCGATAGTAGAAGTATTAACAGTAATGGAGAAGATTAAGGAGCGAAGATATGATTCGAGAATCATAATTCAGTGAGATAAATTTAGAAGTAGAAAGATGGAGATGATGAGGAATTCAGAAGGGTATTAACTAAATAAACTCATTCACTAGATACTTGAATATATGCGACACATGATGACATTATTCTGTACCTCGAAGCAGAGTACGCGAAGAGGGTTTCGAACGTTTATGGCCGACAGTCGAATACGTTAGCCACTAAACCATGACGTTTTAAATTACTTAGCTTTCAGTTTTGCGTGATTATATTGGCTTTTATTTTACATCGGTTTCAGTAACAATAACAGTAATGATAGTAAAAATATTATATTCTGAAAATAATTACAGAATTCATGCCGGTTTGTAGGCATGAACAAATTGATGCAGATAAGTATGTTAAATATAAAGGATAGATACATTCTTTTAGATTGTTTAGAGTGTTATAATTCGAAAATTGTCCGGAGAGTACATTTTTCTATAACGTTGTGGTACATTGATTAGGAACTATTAATTCTTTGTAAGGGTTTTTTATCCTGTTTGATATATGAACAATGTATCCGAGGTCATTCTCAATGCTACTACAGAATAATTATCATCATCAAGAACTAGAGGAAGTAAAAAAACAAACTGAGAGTACAGAACAACAATAATCATAATTATCATTATTGATCTACTAACATATATATATCGGATGTTGTTTTATGATCTACAGTTCTGATGGATATTTAAATTAGTTCAGTTTACTAGGGACGCTTAGTGTTAAATATCTGCAGGTTGCGAGGTTTAATGAATGAACTCAGTAATAACAATAATTAAACATTTAATATTTCTGTAATTTCACTTGTGGAATGAGATATAATTAAAGGTGCTAGCACACCTGAGGCATTTTCAGAAAAGTAAGCATCGACATGGCCAACTAATGGTACGAGTTTTCTCGTTTCTCAAACGAATTCTGGCAAATTATTCTAAAGTCTCAATAAGTCCCAGAGGAATTCATGTATAGAGATTTTGATTGAGACTGTTTCACCAATGATATAGAATTACGGATGCTATAACCAGGCTCTTCAACATATCGCTGGATGTAAGCGACAGTTTAATAAGTATTTAAAATAAAAAGATTAAATTTATTTTAAATCGAGTCCAAGTTTATTGGATCTGAATTTAAAGTTTAAAGTACCATCATTCGTAACAATGCCTCGTTACGGATTTCAACCTTAATTTATCCTTTTTGTCAACACTACTAACAATAAAGGTTCAGTATTCTAGGAATGATTGAATATATACTTTGTACATCAAAATACGTGTTGATATACTTAATATTGGTACCTATAAATTATATCTATGTGCCTTTTGTTTTGTTTGAAATATCTATTTCAAGCTAAAAATTTCAACCATATTTATCCCATTCTTTTTTTTCCGTTAAATAAATCACCGCATATTTAGCCTTTCTTCATGAAACTGCTCCATGATGAAGAAGCTGAAGTACGAGCTTTTGCTGCAGGCAAAGTGAAAGCATTCGCCAGATGTCTACTAGGTTTACCAGCTGATGTTGAAACAAGTACTACAGATAAAAAAGTTATTGCCTCTGATACGAAAGATAATGAAAGTTCTTCCACAGCAATATCGGTTGATGCTAAAATGATGGAAGTCGATGAGAAATCCGAAACGGAAATTAATAACAATGGTATAGCATCAAAAGATGATATTATCATGTTGCAGCTATTACCGGCAATTAAAAATCTCACAACTGAATCAAATACACATGTAAAATCTGCTCTAGCTGGTGCTATTCTTGGCTTAGCTCCATTAGTTGGTAAAATTTCTACAATAGAACATTTACTGCCTATATTTCTTGCTCAATTGAATGATGATAATCCAGAGGTTCGATTGAATGTAATTTCTAATTTAGAACAAGTGAATTCAGTCATAGGGATTGATCATTTGGCTACAAGTTTATTACCTGCTATTATTCAATTGGCTGAAGATCCGAAATGGCGTGTTCGATTGGCAATCATTGAATATATGCCTTTATTAGCGGAACAGTTAGGTTTAGAATTTTTCGGTAATCAATTAACTGAATTATGTTTATCATGGCTTGTTGATCAAGTGTATGCGATTAGGGAAGCGGCTGTTGAAAATCTTGTACGTTTATGTATAAAATTTGGACCGGATTGGGCAAGTCAATATTTTATACCAAAAGTAAGAAATATAATCTGATTATTCAATTTTTATTTAATCTAATACATTGATGTATTATAAACAATCGTTAAATGGTTTATTAAGATTGTTCAAATGATATTTTGTTTGTCTGATGCAATATTGATATCGTCTGGAAAACCATTGGAAACCAAAGATCAGTGGAAATTTCTGGAGTCCCAGTAAGAAAATGTAACTTGTTGAATGTACGATAGCTGCTCACCATTTGCTACGTAAATTAGTTTTGCAACAACACGAAACGTTTGCAGCTATAAATGTAAATCATTGGATACTAACTTAAAAATCTAAAAGTTAAATGCTCATCTCAAGATGTAACGGTTATGGGCCCGATCGCTGGTGCGATCGAGGATGCGGTCAGTCCCTTACAACGTAGGACTTCGTACATGAGTACAAAAGTTCAGGTTGCCATACCCCATCAGTCCAGAGACTCATTTGTTAGTTCAAATCCCATAGTGGTAGAGATAGTAGAAGTATTACTGGTAATGGAGAAGATTAGAGTTCGAAAATATTATTCAAGAGGTAAATTTCAGTGAGATAACTTAAGTACCGAGAATGCGCACTGTTGAGAAACTCCCTTAATAGGACGAAAAGGCTTTTCTGTGATATTCGGTTTTCTGGGGTTGTCTGAAATCAGTCTTGGATATAAATTGTAGCGATAATTAGACAGCTGTCTTATTGTAATCGGACTCTTCCTCACCTCAGACGCTATAAAAAGAAGTTGAATTCAAAACTTTCAGGTCTGATGATTGACGCGGTTCATTTAGACTATTTTATCGAGTTGAAATTCCGTCATCCAAACTTAGTTTCACTGAATTAAATTTGTTCTATATTGTAACACGTTATTTATCATTTTAAGTCATGTACAATTCTCCACTTATGTTTAAAATATCCTATGACGTCATCTGTTGGAATCGCATTCAAAATAACATTTATTTATAAGATGTATAATTCTTTTAGATGTGTTAATTATTTTCAATAAAATATGTGGCTAAACACAGAATTGTGTATTTGGTTATAGATCAGATATATATCTATTATGCTAGTTATAGTATTCTACTGTTCTATTTTACACAAAAACACATTTTGAACCAGCTTTACCCAGTAGTTAATATAAGGTGATGTAACCAGTTAAAAACTATGCTGTAAATTAATAATATGGGTGTGACGTTTAACCCTTGTATCTAATCTATAGGAGATATGCTGTGTACTGAGGAGTGTTCAGAGCGATGTATCTGTAAGAATTTATAGCAGAGAAGAATAGTAGGTGAAGCCAGCCGATAATCTTGATAGATTTTCATATGCTTCAATTAGTTGTTATTAAACAAGTGATGTAACCAACTAGGTTTATCTAACGAATCGACATGTAGGTTCATTTTTTTGAATCTGAAGAAAATGAAAGGTGAAATAATCTACGAGTAGTAGCTTTGGTATATGCACATTAAGTTATCCTGATCCTGACATTATTTCTAATTGCTTACGTTCAATTATTTCTATCATGCCCCATGGTTGAGTTTGTGCAAAACCTTGGATGGATTAAAGTTAGACATTAGCACCGTTGAATGCCAGCTCACTAATCAAGAGGTTGAGCGTTCGCGCGTTAGACCCATGGTCCTGGGTTCGGTTCCCGCGAGCGGGGGTCGTAGATGCGAACTGTTGATAAGTTTCATGCTAGGATGAACTAGCCGTCCTGTGCTTCCGGATTTGTAGTAGTGGTCTAAAATTGATCAGTTCGTGACTTCATTCAAATTCAACAATCTCCACAACTCTCTAGTGAAAAATTAATACTGTCAGAAATCTAAGTTCATCATTGTTAATTTCGTTTTTATAGTGTTTATTAGTATTCTGAATCTCCTTAAATTTTCCGGGTTCAGAGGGGAAACATGTCATCTTCACATGATAGAGTTCGTTGGTTTGCATATGTAATTACTATAGTTTAATGCTGAAACTTTCCAAGAGGCTTAACGATACTGGATTCCATCTCTGATGACGTCGTGAATGTACGGTAATACAAAGATTTTAAAACTAAAATGAAACAATATGAATTTGTGGCTGAAGCTAACCACGACATTTCTTCTTTCTATTAATACAATTGGCTGTTTATGAATTTGATTTAAGCAAAAGCAACGATTGATACTTTGAATAGTTCAGATATACTTGTATTTGGTGAACTCTTATCAGCTAATTACAATCATGCTCATACTAGAATTATATAACATAATATTAAGTGGTAAACATTGTTAATTGGAAAGATTGAAATGATGATTTATCATGTGTAATATTATTCATTCATATTTATATATATATAAACAATATAAAGAGGATGAAGTAATAATTATCTATATAAAAATCAAAAAACTACTAAGATGAATTGTGTAATAATTTAGAAAGCTTATTTAATATGGGACTCCTTCGCGGCAGACATCCCCATCATTTTCACCGGTAGTGGAATCCAATACCTATGAAACCACGCGTGACTGCTTAACGTTTGGACTACCGAGCCGAAATCTAATGGTGCACAACTCTCACTTTAGTCAATTCATTATTCTGCATAACCATTTGTTGTCTTCAATAGGTACCTACCTGAAACATGACACAGCTTCTCACTCGCTAAGCGAAGAATGCGTAGCAAGGGACGAATAATAATTATAATGGTAGTAGTAATGATAATAGTAATAGTAATAATAATAATAATAGTAGTAATAATAATTAGAAACGATCTAATCAAAATCGTGTGTGATAAATTGACAACTCTCTTTTTTGAACAGATACATTTAGTTGAAATTTTACCTATTAACTATCACTCCAGTGAAGCTTGAAGAAGTTACTTTTTTATCGACGAATTGATGAAAGTAATTAATATCCCCACTATTGGTCAAATATCGGCCATAAAGTGTTCTAGTCTAGGCCTATCTGGAGTGTGCTTGAAAATACGGACATGTACTCTTCTGTCTGTTCTCCCAGTTTATATTCTTCGTCACATGATGTGTCAATTGATAAATAAGGTTAGAGGTACTGACTAAAGTAGACTTTTGAAATCAATCAATCAATCATTGTAAGAGCACCATTAGAAACCTAGAAGCACTGGATGTCCGTTTCATCCTGGTATGGGACTCATCAGCACTGCACATCCACGACTCCTGCACCTCGCAGGATTCTAACCCGGAGCCTTCTATCCTGTGCGCGAACGCCTAACCTCTGAACCGCTGGGCGTGGATGTGCACTGCTGATGAGTCCCATACCAGGACGAAACGGACATCCAGTGCTTCTAGGTTTCTAATGGTGGTTTAACAATGATTGGTTGATTTCAATTATGTAAAAACACTAATCTACATAATTCTAATTGAAAATAAAGTAGACTTGTTTCAGAGAGTAATCTATTTCATGTGTAAGGTAGGTGAAAAGCCAGTCTGCTAAGATAAACAATCTTTTGTTCAGCCTTAATTCTGTAAGTAAGAATAATGCGGCAAGCGGTTGAACAGGTAATTTATCAGTAAATAATTCCAGTTTTCACACTGCCAAATAGTATAATCATTATTATTATCGTAAATAAAATTATGTCTAATATTGAAAAACAGTTTACAGTGTATGAGATGTATCTATATTATTGTTTCTATCTTTTTATTTTTCTTTAACCATTCATAGATTATTTATTTATCACGTGATGAAAATTATCTTCATCGTATGATTTGTTTACAAAGTATTATAAGTTTATGTAAAGTTGTTAGTCCAGCTATCTGTTGTCAGTATTTATTGCCTACTGTTTTATCAATGCATACTGATAGTGTGCCTAATGTTCGCTTTAAAGTGAGTAAATTCTTATTATCATTACATTTAGTGTTGCAATTAATGAATGTTGATATATATATTGTTGATAAGTCGGGTTTATGAAGCATTCTTGTTATTGTTATATCATAGCGTAAAATCTTCATTTCAGTTTGTCTGCAAAACCCGTCATAAAAGTTTGTACCTGGGTCTGTGTTGCAACACATCACATATGAATCTAACGGAGATATTCGTTTGACAAATATACTCGTTAAATAAGTCAAAATAAACAGTATTATAAATGATAGTAAAAAATGAAACATAAGAGACATATTTGTAAATGCGTGTATTCTTCTGTTGTTGGCTTTAATGACTACAATTGATTAGTCTCTTTTATTATTATTCGTATGTTCTGAGCGGATCATCTCGATATCGCTCTTATTAACGAGCTTTTATTGAAGTTACTTAGTTGGTGGTATTGGAGGCTAGGACTTATGTATCATCCTATTTAAGGCTCGTCAGCTGAAAGTATCTGTATACCAGTGTCGATGTTCACACTGAAAATTGAACAGTATAAAAATGCACAATCCCCTGATACATGAATTTCGTCAGTCACTCAGTTACAACGTAGAAATTCTATTTCAAGTTTGTGCTGATGATGTTGTTCAGAAGAACAATGAAAGCTGCACAACCAAAAAATCCAGCTCAGAGAAAGAAACACCACCACAACTTAAAACTTCGTAGGTACGTACATTAGTTCAGGTTGCCATGCCACACCAGCACAAGGACGCAATTAACAATTCAAATCCCACAGTAGTAGAGATAGTAAATGTGTTAGCCGCAATATAAAAGATTAGGGTTTGAGGAAATTATTCAAAAAGTGTAGGTGAGTGAAATAAATCTAAAAATAGAAATATGGAGGTGACGAGGAATTCAGGAGATTAGAATTTCATAGAAGAACACAAAGAGTGGATGCACCTGCGCCAGTGCAAACGATTTTGAGCCATGTCGTTCAAAGTCTCTAACCATCGATTATTATCATCTCGCGGACCCGAACCAGGTAGCCTGCAACTACCAACATGACTCAGTCCACTTGTCAGTGACTTCATGGATTTGTGCCATGTTTTGGTCTGGCCGTCCCTAGCTTTCTTCCAACCAACTCCTACACCACAACATCGCTCGTCAAGGCAGTCGGTGGTTAGGTTTACGTAAAACACGTCCCAGACACCTCAACTGATGAAGTTTCAATACTTCGTCTATTGATTTGTCATTTTTACCTAATACCCGTTTCATAGCAACAGCGTTGCTTACTCGATAGTACAAAGATATACAAGCAATGCTTCGGAGACACTTATGATCGATCATGAAGTTCTGTGTTAGTATCTGTCATTAAAATCTATACCAAAAGGTACATTGAGTTAGAGGTTATGGCGAACTAAAATCTCTCGTCACCGCTATATTTCTCTTTTTAGATTTATTTCATTCACCTACATTTTTTGAAAAATCTCTTTTCGACCCTAATCTTCATTGCCTCTAACACCTTTACTATCTCTACTACTGTGCGATTTGAATTGATGATTGCGTCTCTGTGCTGGTTCTAATATTCCCCAACTAATTCCTATTGCTTAGTATTGTCTGACGACAATACACTCTACAAGTCCCCAAATCAGAACACGGTGGCACAGGAGAAAGATTTTATTTACAACAACAAGGTTAAATGGAAATAAGAAGCCGAAGCGAAAACAAAGTAGATACAACGTTAGTATCTTTATAGTTTTTACACGAGAAGCTTCTGGAATGTAATTTACGTGATCGACTAGCACTGGCCGGATCAGATTTAGCCTATCAGCGTGCAGCTAACAATACGAGAATTTTCCAGACTGCTCTCCAAGTCTCGACCAGGCGCTAATCGGGTAGGAAATTAGCCAATCAACGCTCAGCTAACGCAGTCCTGCTTTAATCTATTTATGTCCCACTAACAGCTGGTGTGGCATGGCAGCCTAAACTGATGTACGTACTTACGGAGTTCTATGTTGTATCTGGCTGACTGACTGGTAAAATTAAGATAACTCGTTATCAATACTATTGTTTAATATTGTTACTGTGTAATTATTATTTGTAGGTTGCTCAAGCACTTAGCAATTTGGGTTCACAATTAGATGAGAAGAATATTGAAAATGAAGTTAAATCTTGTTTAACTCGTTTAGCTGAAGATTCTGATACCGATGTGAAATTCTATGCTTATGAAGCTATGGATACATTGAAAATAACAACAAGCAATAAACCATTTCAATGTTATTATATTAAAGTTAAACAGAATTCTAATCCAAATTATATTCAAACTGACTTAGTACCATCATCAACAACAACAACCACAACAACCACGATAACTGTACCAGGCGAAGTGGAAACTGTCAATTCATCGTGTGAACTAAACAATCATTGTTTTATTGATGATCAGTCTTTTTCATCGCTTAAAATTGTCAATGATTTGACTACTAATCCTATTGATAATAATGTTGTCGATGATAATAATGATAGTAATTCATCGTCAGTAGACTCACAATTGTCTACTTTGGTTAATAACACTAACAACAGTGTTGACAGTGATAGAGATTGTGAAAATTAACCATAGGAAAATCATTACTATTATTGCTACTGCTATGATTTATGTGTATGTATGCTTTTATACATGTGTAGTGAGTGAGTGTGTTGTTAAGCAAGAACAGTTGATAATTGATTAGCATGTATACAATTCGTTGATTTATGTGTATTGATCTGCCCCTCCTCCTCCTCCCTCTCTCTCACACACACCCATACATACATACATACATACATGCTTGTTGTATACACTCTCCCTGTACAGTCAGTATACACATTGTATTCTGGTTATGCACGCGAAAATGTAACTGTTTCTGACGACGAGTTATGTTTTTTTTTTTTTTTAATTTTATTTCTACAACAATTTTTCAACGAATTCTGTATTCATAATAATTGTCATTATTTAATAGTTAGTTCTCTCGATATTCTCTCTCTTTCAATTGTAATAATGATTACAGTCTTATTAATTGAATGCATGCATGCATGACATTAATTATTGACAATGAATTTTTCTTTGTTCTCAACAATAAATTAAATAAAATGAAATGATTCCATATTTTGTAAACTTTTAACAGTTTTTTTTTGTGATTACTAAGTAATAATAATAATTCACTTTCTAGCAATCAATTTATTTGTGCAGTAGTGTTGTGTGTATGATAAAAAGTAAAGTGTGAAAAAGGGCTGTCTGAATAAGTGACACATTGTTATTATTATGGGATTCAAGTGGTCGTTGTATTTTGAAGAAGAAGAAGATGAAGAATAAAAGTTATGTATTATATATACAAAACTTTTAATTTCTATCTAATGTATTTTTTATCTCTTAAAATGCCTTCTTCCCTATTATGAATTTATTGAAATGTGATTGTTGAACTAATCACACTGTTCAACTAACATTGTATGATTGATTGATTGTCTTCTAATTACTGCAAGTTTCAATGTGGTTTGTCAACTTGTGAACATGATCTTTTACTATTATTATTATTATTATTATTATCCTAAATTGATTTGACATCAATTTGTTACAACAAGTATATTTGTTTTTATTATTATTTTTTTTGTTTTGTTTTCTTTTTCAAATTAAAAAAAATGTGTGCCTTGTTGATATGATACACAATCAAAATGAGATAGATATATACAGTGTCGTTTAAAATAAAATGAAATTATTAGTGATAATAATGTTGTTGTAATTATTATTTATCATTTTGAATGGAAATACGCTTAGACTACTATGTAAAAAAAGAAAATATCATATTTATTCAGAGTCCTTAACGAAATTCTGTATTATTGATAGGATTTAACTATATACATACATGTGTATAAAAGTTGGCACAGGACAATTAAACAGAGACGATATTGATTCATGAATTCGGTGCTTGATTAGTTTCAACTACCTAGTTAAGATAAGCGTAATTATCATTATTATGTATGGTTAGACGATATGTCTTGTAATCAATGGCTATGGTACACACACAGATAGATGCATCCACTCATTGTGCTGATGTGGTATGGCAACCTGAACTGATGTACTTACGTACGAAGTTCTACGTTGTATCTGTCTGTCGAATATAGAGTCATATTTTTACATGTTGATTTGAAAGAGCTTGGATTTGTGATGAAATCAAATCTCCTATCGATTAATAGCTGAATATCAATATCAACATGACCAGCCTGATGAGCATCTACATAAATGTTTATCTGTTGCCGATATCTAGTATCTTTGTATCATGTACTTAAAATCTAATTGGTTAGTGTCCTGTTACGCTCGACTCTATGTATGCTTAAACTATTACGAATTCACCTTAGTCGAATGACCGTCCAGGTAGGCTACTGTGATCCCTTGACAAAACTGAATCAGCAAGAAATTGTATTTTGCAAACACAGCCAGTACACAACGAATCCAAGCACTCAAATTGCGTTTATTTATACTCTATGGAGGCGTCCTTGGGATAGTCACAAAAATAGCACAATGAAATGACACAGTAACCAATCGCAGCCAAGGATTTTCCTAGTGGGAAATGTGATCTCAAGTTCAACTGTTCGCTCTATGAAATAAATCCAATATAAAGATATTTATCAAGCGAGTTCTGGGGATCTAACATCCTCAACATGTCTAATGATATCTGAAATATTTTGTAGACATTCGAGTTCGAATCCACCTAGGGGTACTAGTCCCCTTGAAATTGTACTTATACTTTATTGTCAAGTGTTAACTAGCATGAAATATGAAACCAAGGTTTCATGTTGACTAACGTCTACTAATTAACCTTGAAAGTCAATCTACACAATAATGAGTCAACATGGTAGTCATGTTTCTGTTTGATCGTTAGGATTTGATCAAAATTATGGAATAAACCAGTTTGACATTGCCTACTACCTAATCATTAACCAGTAAAGCTATATCACACTTTAGTAATGTTGGATTTTATCTAGTAGTAGGATTCAGGGCAGACATCTAGTCGTATTTTGGAGTTGTCGGTTTGACGTACTTTAATAATGGTGTTGTTTATAGCGAAACTCAAACCTATTGTTAACCACGAGACACATGTTCAATAGAGGCCGATCAATTACAGATATTAACAGCAATATTTGAAAATTTTATCCTAAGACAAATAAAATATTGTTAGTATAGTTATACATTCTAGTAACAATTACGAAAAAAATTATTTTTCTAACTATCGAATCATGAATTACTCTGAAGATAAATTTTGTTAAAATATTCAGTCTACTTAAATACGTTTGCTAGTAAACAAAAACAGTGACTTAAATATTGCACTTTCAACTCAAGTAGTTGATTAAAAGTTCCAGTCAAATGAGAATTTGACTATCGTCCGCTTTTCCAAAGTAGTACTGTAAGCCTGAACATACTGAAGTGGTTTTCTGTTGATTTATTCATTCAACTCTTGAACAAATGGTACATATGTTCGATAATAGTTGCCACTGTTTAAAATATTCCATGTTTATGAATTCTAAAATAGAAGTTAGTTTATTCAATAATATATAAGAAATAAGTGTTACAGAACTGTTGAACCTTTTTGTATTGTTACAATGAGTTATACAGGAATTACATTCAAGTTATCAGACAGGTAGAAAAGATAGATTATTGAGAATTTCGATTTTTGTGTCATTACCAATTCTTTCATTCGGCCATAACTTATTAGAGAGCTTTGGATAGGTATGAAATTACTGTAACACTGGGTATCGGCTATGAATCGCAAAAGCTTCCAAGAAATTTATGAAAAATTATTGTTTATTCGTAAAGTAAAATGTAAGAAATATATTTTTAGATTAACAATGTGATTGTTAAAGATCACGGTGACCGGTGACTAATAACAGTTTCATACACCGTTTTTCCCATTAGGATTCTGGAGCCCATGTGCGCCATTGGTTTGGAATCAGGCTTTTCTAATTCTCCTACATAGATTCTTCGTACGCAACAACTCAGTTTAGTCTCCAGACACTGCCTTTTCGTTCTCTCGTTTTCGTAAGGAGCACCTGTACCACGGGCTATATAAACACCTGGCCATATGAGAGATAGAGAGAGCATTCTGAGGGATCGGACTCTGCCTACTTTTGGGAATACTGAGGCATTTGACAGTTGACTGTTTAATGATTGAATGATAAGACTATGAATATCTCAGATTTACTTTCTTAGAATAAGTTGCATTAATAGCAGCATCCTAATCTCTAGTAATAATGAACTGAACAAACAAGTAAATTTGAGATTAAATGCATAAAAATCAAGAATGTGTATGATGAGAAACATTTATCTTCAGATAATTACTTTTTAGATCTTTCTCAAGCACATAAAATGTTGAATTTATTTTTTCGATTGGAAAACAGTGGTTCGAAGGTTCACTTCCTCTGATAAAATGCATAGATGTGTACACTGGCACATTAATAATGTACGATAATTTCAACTTCCAATTGCATATCATCCTCAAATCTCTTCTCAGTTAATTCATTAGTGAATCTGGGTAGACATCATCATTGAACAATAATAAACTATAAATTTTCACTGAATTAGATTATTTCTTCAAAAGTTGCAAATTATTTAGACTATTTACGTGCTTTTTAGTGGAAAACATCCTGTAGGACTATTTGATATGTGATAAGCAATTCATTGACTACTTATCGAATATATTTACATATACATCTATATATATATTCTCCATCTTACTTGTTTGTAATGCATAGACATAAATATTTTTGTTATGCAATAATAGGTGGACTGAATTAATTAGATTATTGATTTTAATTAGTTTATGCATTGGAAAATGTTGAAATGAACCACACCATACACAAACACATACACATACACAAAGTAAATGAATAATTTCCACATTAATATTAATTTTATTCTGTATAAAATTATTGTGATAACTCTAACTTGAAAGCTTTTCGAATCTAATTACACAATATGTTTGAATTTTTTCTTTTTTTTTTCACAGAATTCTTTTGGGATGTAAAAATTTTTACTTCATTTGGTCGATAAAATTTGATCAGCATGAATGGATTAAAGAAACCTCATTACAGAGTTGTAAGTATCTCTATGCTACAGGATGTTATTAGTCCTGATTAAAATAGTTCATTAGTAAAACATCCTAGAATTTAAATATATACTAGTCAGGATAGAACCACCCCACCTGCATAGGAAGTGTCGTGACAATAAATAAATCCAAGATTTGCTACCAACTAACTCACACTACGTAAAAGGGAATTAATTTTTTTATTAATGAATGAATATTATAAAATTAAAATAATCTTCAATAAATATTTGTAAAGAAAAAATTTAGTAGTCAGAGTATATCTTTTATTGAAACTTATTTTAGCTGATAATTTGAATTTGAATATGAATTTTCGTATTTGTGAAGTAATCAAGACTAAATTCGTGAATAAGTGACTTTCGTTTTTGAATCACCGGCAACTACATAGTTTATAACTGCTTCATAATAGTTCAAGTTGTCTCACTCGTAAGCCTCCAATGCTATCGAGGTCATGGGTTTCATTTCATGTGAAGTTATGAGAGTATATTTCTAGTTGATCTACAAACTAGAAAGAAACAGCCAAATAGAGCCACTTGGTATTCATTAGTTCTTAGACCATTGTCAATTGATCACCATCCTATCTCGTTGAATATTTCTATAGTCTTTGGATAACAGAAAAGCAGTTGGAAATCATTTGTATAAATTATAAACTTTTTATTGCTCATCATTTCAAAAAACTCACTTATCAGTTTATCTGGTTGTTTGAAGTTGAGAATCACAACTTCCTACAAATAAAGCTTTTTTAAAAAAAACTACCTTTATTCTAGTCTTATATATGTTTTTGTACGCCACTGTCAATAAATCTATTTTCGTAATCAGTGCATTCATTTTCATTTTATTGGTAGATCAAGGAACTTTCTATTTTTATCTTCAAACCTCAAATAATCAAAATATCAAATAACTAATCGGAAATATTTTTTTTTTGGTCCAAATTCATAACAAATTAAAAATTTATACAACCTATACATCTCAGTAGATCAATTAATCAGGATATTTCGCGACCAAAAATATAGTCAACTCACTTAAAATGAGATAAATTTCTCCCGACTCAGTAATTTGGGTGATAATATTAGATTGATCAAAAGACAGATAACTTATATGAACTGTTTAAAAATAGAATTAACCAAAAAGAATCTAATGCTTTTTGATAATCACGCCAATTGATCTTTCAATAAGCTACTGCATCTGTATAACATATATATTACATTCAATGGAATATAATGTTTGTATGATTATTATTGAAGATTTTATATTATATTTAAGTTGTTGTTATCCAGGACTAAATCTTGACCAATGTTTACTGACATAGTGATTCAACATAGATTGTCTTTAAAAAAGAACTCATTTTATTACAAGTTCTTTTTAATTCAGTTATTAAAAGCTACTACTACTACTACTACCAACTTTCAACCAAAACCACAATCAGGATTTTCACTACAAATATCAAGACAGTTCTACTGTATGGAGCGGAAACCTGGAGAACTACGAAAGGCATCATTCAGAAGATACAAGTATTTATTAACAGTTGTCTACGCAAAGTACTTCGGATTCGTTGGCCAGACACCATCAGCAACAACGTACTGTGGGAGAGAACAAACCAGATTTCAGTGGAGGAGGAAATCAGGAAGAAGCGGTGGAAGTGGA